CGCAATCCTTCCATTTATAGAATGGTCACTGATATTAGTAGACATTCTTTATTTGTTCGCCACCCGTTTGCTCCGTCCCTTCTCCCTTCGCCTACATTCGCTCTTGTCTTCTCTTCAATTACCACCTTTCTATGTTCATGTAGCATCTCACTTTTCCCTACCCCCCTGGGAAGTTCCAGCTGTTCGAGTCTGTTCTTTCTCACTCCCTTGCTCGAAAGCCCAACTGTCTATGGTAGCTTCCTGCTCTCTTTTTCTTGACCACTTCCACTCTCATTCACATGCCATTGCAGTGTACACAAATGGCTCTAAGTCTTCTGACGGCGTAGGATTCGCAGCAGTGTTTCCAGACAGCGTCGTACGAGGGCACTTACTATCTTCAGCTAGTATTTTTACTGCTGAATTGTATGTCATTCTTGCAGCACTTATCCGTATTGCATCTATGCCTGTGTCATCATTTGTGGTTGTCTCAGACTCCCTTAGTGCTTTACAGGCTATACAGAAATTTGATACATTTCACCCCTTAGTCCTCCGTATCCAACTTTGGCTAGCCGCATCTCTTCCAAGCATAAAGATATTGTTTTTTGTTGGGTCCCTGGTCATGTTGACGTACAGGGCAATGAACAGGAAGACACTGCTGCACGGTCAGCAATACATGACCTACCAGTTTCATATAGACGTGTTCCATTTACGTACTATTTTACTGCAATAGCTACCCACCTTCACACCCGTTGGCAACAACGTTGGTCTGCTCTACTCGATAACAAACTTCAATCTATTAAACCGAGTATAGGTTACTGGCCGTCTTCTTGTCACCAGTGTCGAGGTTGGGAGACTACTCTCTCCCGTCTTTGCATTGGCCGTAATACTCGTCTTACTCATGGTTATCTCATGGAGAGGCGCCCTGCTCCTCTCTGTGAGAGGTGTCAAGTTCTACTATCGGTTAGCCACATTCTATTAGATTGCCCACTTCATCAACGAGCACTCAGAATGTACCTCCAACGTCGTCTTCGCTCCGCTGCTCTCTCTTTACCTTCCCTTCTCGCTGATGGACCCACCTTTTATCCGGACTCTCTCATTGACTTTTTGACAACAACTGACTGACTTCACAAACTCTGATGATACCTTCAGCCCTTTCTACCTCAATCTCTTGCTGCCCTCTACCCCCACACTATCCCCTGCCCCACTGTTTTCTGTAACCTACTGATCTTCCCTCCCCCCTTCTGCCGCCCAATACCCTCGCTTTCTTCCCTACCCTGCAGCGCTGTACAGCCCTTGTGGCTTAGCGCTTCTGTTTTATTATAATAATAATAATTTGACTTTGGCACATAGCCCTTAGCGTCCCTTTCAGCCCCCCTTTTTTTTTTTTTACACAGGGTTTGACAAGGTTAAGGTTCCCTAGCTTTATTGACAAGCTATTTACAGGTTAAGGATTCCTAACTTTATTGGCAAGCTAAGAGCTGTTACCTACATCAGCTCATTTGAAAGCATTTTTATTATTATGAGACATACAAGTAGGGAACAGGATGAAGTTGAGGCCATCTGTGGGCCAGCATTTTCCTTTGATCAGCTGACTTTATCTCGTTGACATCATTATGCTGTATGAATGTGTTCCATACTCGAGTCATCCTGGGTATATATGATTTCAGATGGAGTGATGTTCTGGAGAAGGGTACAGCCAGAGTGAAGTTGCTGCTTTCTGCCCATCTTGTGGCATAAAAGCTTGTTTCACGCTGTCCTCGAAGTGGATCCAAGTGTGGTACTTTGACAATATTGGCCTTGTACCTAACAGTAAGGCCACTCACATCCCTCCTGTGTTGAAGGCTCTGCTGAAATGACAGATCTATCTAGGATGGGTCCAGGCGAGAGATGAGACGTCTTGCTCTGTTCTTTACTTTGTCAAGCAGCTGCAGAAGGGGGGGGGCAGGCAAACCAAGAAAGTGGAGCATACTCAAGGTGTGAGCATACTGCGCCTCGTACAGAATCTTGCATCCCCTACTGTCAAGCAGATGCGAGATACGGCGAAGTGCTCTAAGGTTCCTGGCTGCCTTGTTTGCAAGATTTGCAACATGGTTCTTCATGGTTAGTTTGGAGTCAAATTTCACACCAAGGATATCAACTTCTTCTCCAGGTGCCAACACCCTCCCATTCATCCTTACTACTGCACCAGCATTACCATCATGGTGCCTAGAGATCATCATCATTTGCGTTTCTTCAGATGCAAATGTTACTTGCCATCTATTTCCCCAAGCTGATATAGCTCTTAGCTGGTGATTAATGTAGCTTAGAGCAGCTGGCATTTCTTCTCTTGGATAAGTGAATGTCAGTGTACAGTCGTCTGCATATGCATGTGATTCTGGGATGAGATGAAGAAGGTCGTTGAAGTAGACATTCCATAACAATGCTCCCAGCACGCTTCCTTGTGGAACACTTGCCCCAATAGGATGTCTTGCTGATTCCATTCCAATGAGAACTACACTTAGAGATCTACCATGAAGGTAATCACTGAGGAGACTTAGCGTAGAGCCTGCAATTTCCAGTGCTTGAAGTTTTGCTAAGAGACTCTGGTGCCACACCCGGTCGAAAGCACCAGCAATATCCAGTGCTACCACACAGCTGACTTTGGATTCATCCAGTGACTGGTGCCACTTAGTGGAGAGGTTTAACAACAGATCAGCAGCAGAGTAACCTTTCCTGAAGCCGTATTGACGATCACAAAGTAGCGAGTGGTAGTCTAAAAAAAACTGTCATTTGTCTTGGGGTTATTGTCTTAAGGATCTTACCAGTGATTGACAGGAGCGACACTGGTCTGTAGTTGTTGATTTCTGCTCTGCTCTTCTTTTTGTGAACTGGGACTACATTTGCATCTTTCCACAGAGATGGTCATTTACACTGTACTAGGCAGTGCTGAAAGATACGAGTTAGAGGTGCTGCTAGCTGATCTGCACATCTTCTCAGCAATCTTGGGCTCAACTTGTCTGAGCCCACAGCCTTTTCTTGGTCAAGCGATTTAAGAAGGAAATGCACCTCCTCCTGCCTTATTGTCACCACTGACAGTTTTGACACAGTTCTTGCAGCTAGCCAAGGAGGGTCCCTTCCTGGATCAGGAACTTGCATTTTGGTAGCAAAGTGTTCGGCAAAGAGGTCCGCCTTCTCTTGACTACTAGTAGAGGTGGTCCCATCCTGTCGATTTAGAGGTGGAATGAGTTCATCAGGCAGATAATCTTGTCTGTCCTTGACCAGGGACCACAAGGTTTTGGAGCCTACCTTACCTGATGCTAGCTTTCTTTGTGTGTCCACCTCCCATTTAGCAATGGCCCACTTTTGAACGACACCCATATGCCTACAGGTTTGCCTGTGCAAGTTCCTGCTATAGGTGGTAGGATGTCTCTTATACCTTCGCCATGCTTTGTACTTAGAAGTAGCAGCCTCTCTACAACGAAAGCCAAACCAAGGCTGATCTGTAGGCTTCGTCGCATATTGCCGGTGAGGAATGTGTTCTTGTTGTAGATTAAGGATGTGTCCAGTGAAGGCTTTCACTTGGTTGTCAACATCCCCTTGGAGAAGAGCATTCCAATCGGTGGTGGCGAGCTCAGAGCAAAGGGCTGGCCAATTACCTCTTTCCCATAGCCAGGTTGTGCGTGTGGACTCCTCACCTCGTTCTGTTGGGATCTTAAGTGTCGTAAAAACAGCCTTGTGGTCAGACGATCCAACGTAGCCGAGGGGTTGACAAGTGACTATGCCTTCTGCCAGATCACTCACTACTGGGTCAAGGGAGGAGCCAGAGATGTGAGTAGGGAAATCAACAAAGTTTCTCATGTCAAATACTGCAAGAAGGTCATCAAAGTCCCTCTGTATAAGGTGTTGGTTGAGGTCACCAACCTAGCTGTTTATGGTCTCAGCACTATTTTCTGCCCCGCAGCACTGTATGACCCTTGTCGGGTCATATCTCCTAGGAGATGCCTCTCCATGTTCCCCCCTGTTCTTTTCTTTTTTATCTTTTCGGAAAAACAATAAGAAAATTGATCTAATCATGGAGTCTCAAATCCATGAAACTTTTCCTCCCGAACCCCTTTCTGCTGCGGCGTCCTCTCATGACCCTATCTCATTATCGGACTTTTCTAACATCCCAGTACCTTTTGCGGGTAATATCCCATTGCCCGCTCCTGGTACTGAGGTTCCTCCTGACTCCTTTGATACATCCGACCTCTCCACATGTCTTTGACCATTCTTCTGGCTTCTCCCTCTACGGTACGACGATTTTCAGATTGCCCGCCCATTTCAGGATGGACCACCTCTGGTCCCCCACGTTCATGACCACTTCCATTAACTGATGACACTGCTTCAATTACCCCTCACTAGTCTCAGAAAAGATCACCACGACAATCATTTCCCCTACACACTACGTTTCAGAGTACACAATGGACTAAGTTTTTTCACTTTGCAACCGACATCTCCCACTGACAATCTTTCTGATCATAGTATCAGCAAGGCGCTCGTATGCCATGCTGGTCAGAATATTTCATTTCATGCTCTTAAGAGTGGTGCACGCAGATGTATTAGTGAAATGAAAATGATGTAATCAGTCCATCAACCTTGGAGAAAAAGTATTTGAGGTGGTCAGTCCCTCAGCCTGGAGAAAAGTTCAGCTCCATCTAGCTGAACTATTCTCCAGGCTGAGGGACTGACCACCTCAAATACTTTTTCTCTAAGGTTGATGGGCTGATTACATCATTTTCATTTCATTACTACACCTGCTGTCTTGATATTTAACTGAAGCCTACTGTGTAGGCGAAACGTTCCAACAATAACGATACCCAACTGTTGCACGTCTTAATCGTCATCTCGTCGGCACTTTTTACCATTTTCAACATTTTGGGTGTAATGTAATTATGTTGAGTGTTGCAAATTAATATTCATTAGCTTACAGTACTCAGTATTAAGGCTATTTTGTGTTTTTATTTTCAGTTTTATATGTTATAAGGCTGGTTATTTGTTGACAGTGATCTGGCCATCCTGCAGCCAGATGGATACGGTAAGATTATTGGCCGTATCAAGGACATGATTATCCGCGGCGGTGAGAATATCTACCCAGCAGAAGTGGAGAACTTCCTCTTAGGACACCCAAGCATTATTGAAGCTCAGGTTTGTATAGTTCTCCTCTAATAAGATTTTTTTTTTTTTTTGTATCTGATTTTCTTATCAAATCATGCTTACCGGTTTTCGTGCTGGCAGTAGACTAAAGAGTGAAGGGCAGTGAAAAAGCCTTCTGCTTTCCTATCCCTAATTTGTACACCTAAAATAATACTCTACAGTTCTTAATCTAGATATAATTAGTTCTTAATTAACAGAAAGCCTCGATGTAAACTTCCAAGTCCTTTGTCATCTGTTTTTCTTTGTGCTCTGGTGTACCTGTTCATCAGTTAGTTTACCTCTTGAGAATAAATTAAAACAGTAATGTATTGATGATCCAGGTGTTTGGTGTTCCGGATGACAGAATGGGTGAAGAAGTGGCTGTTTGGATCCGAAAAGCTGATGATGATGAACTTAACGCCACTACTCTCAAGCAGTGGTGTAAAGGAAAGGTGGGTGTATTATTTTATTAATGGGGAAGCTATAAACTCGTTCGGGTCACACAGCACCTGGGAGAAGGGTGGCATGGTAATAGGGATGGGGAGGGTAACTTCGTATCTTGGAATCAAGAGTATTTCACAGTTAACAAGGCACCTGTTACGTCGGTTTACGGTCCCTCTCGATATATTTTCTGGTCTAGGATAGTTCACTAATACCCAAAAAGGTCTAGAGAAATATTTCATTTATTTATAAAAACTTATAATGCTTGCATTTCAAACTATAGGTTCACGTTACATCACTTATATACAAAAATAGCTATATATTTAGTGACTAAGTATTTACAGAATATACATACGACAGTTTGGCTCAGCCTTCACATTACCAGCAAGGGACACAACCTTCTAGCATAGTGTTCTGAACCACTCCACGAGCCTGGGTCCCTGTAACAATTTCTCCATATTTCCTTCCTGACCTGCCTTAACCAAGAGTTTTGATACACTATCAACCCTGAGACACACTTTCCTGTACATTAAATCCCTGACATAGGTCTTACCTACTGGACAACTCACATCTTGCTCCGAGAGCAGTCTGCTTCTCCCAGCATTGGCTTCCAGGATAACGACGGAGACTCGGCCAGTGGCGCCATCACACCAACACCAAGTAAACTAAATAACATCCACAACCACATTTATTCTAGACTTTTGCATTACTGTTCTTTTGCTCTCTTCCCCAAACTTTACAACTCTCTTAAATATTGTAGTAATAATAATAATAAGGTATTGCTGATACATTATAATTATTATAGATTATTTGTGTATTGTTTACCAGTGAACCTATTTTATTGAAATGTCGAGCTAAAAGACCATGTCTCTCAGACAAGAGCGATCAGTTCTTATGTCAGAATCAAGGCAGTAGTGGCCCCAGCGGTTCAATATAACTTGATAGTACAAATATATGGTCATTTCCTGCAACATAAGTATTTACCCCAGTACAGCTGTAGTTAGTGGGTCTTATAACCCTCCTGTAACAGCAACTTCCATGACAGGGAATGAGTCGTAGGTATTATTGACTGGTAAATCAGGTTCAATTACGGGATATGTGGTGGCAAGTATAGATGGTAGACAAGTAGGTTGGCAAGTAGTAGGTTGGTAGACAGCAACCACCCAGGGAAGTACTACCGTCCTGCCAAATGACTGTGAAACAGAAACCTGTAACTGTTTTGCATGATGGTAGGATTGCTGGTTTCTTTTTCTGTCTCATAAACACGCTAGATAACAGGGATATCTTGCTACTCCTACTTACACTTTGGTCACACTTCACAGACACGCACATGCATATATATATATATACATACATCTAGGTTTTTCTCCTTTTTCTAAATAGCTCTTGTTCTTCTTTATTTCTTCTATTGTCCATGGGGAAGTGGAAAAGAATCTTTCCTCCGTAAGCCATGCGTGTCGTATGAGGCGACTAAAATGCCGGGAGCAATGGGCTAGTAACCCCTTCTCCTGTAGACATTTACTAAAAAAGAGAAGAAGAAAAACTTTATAAAACTGGGATGTTTAAATGTGCGTGGATGTAGTGCGGATGACAAGAAACAGATGATTGCTGATGTTATGAATGAAAAGAAGTTGGATGTCTGGCCCTAAGCGAAACAAAGCTGAAGGGGGTAGGGGAGTTTCAGTGGGGGGAAATAAATGGGATTAAATCTGGAGTATCTGAGAGAGAGCAAAGGAAGGGGTAGCAGTAATGTTAAATGATCACTTATGGAAGGAGAAAAGAGAATATGAATGTGTAAATTCAAGAATTATGTGGATTAAAGTAAAGGTTGGATGCGAAAAGTGGGTCATAATAAGCGTGTATGCACCTGGAGAAGAGAGGAATGTAGAGGAGAGAGAGAGATTTTGGGAGATGTTAAGTGAATGTATAGGAGCCTTTGAACAAGTGAGAGAGTATTGTGGTAGGGGACCTGAATGCTAAAGTAGGAGAAACTTTTAGGATGGGTGTGGTAGGTAAGTTTGGGGTGCCAGGTGTAAATGATAATGGGAGCCCTTTGATTGAACTTTGTATAGAAAGGGGTTTAGTTATAGGTAATACGTATTTTAAGAAAAAGAGGATAAATAAGTATACAAGATATGATGTAGGGCGAAATGACAGTAGTTTGTTGGATTATGTATTGGTAGATACAAGACTTGAGTAGACTTCAGGATGTACATGTTTATAGAGGGGCCACAGATATATCAGATCACTTTCTAGTTGTAGCTACACTGAGAGTAAAAGGTAGATGGGATACAAGGAGAATAGAAGCATCAGGGAAGAGAGAGGTGAAGGTTTATAAACTAAAAGAGGAGGCAGTTAGGGTAAGATATAAACAGCTATTGGAGGATAGATGGGCAAATGAGAGCATAGGCAATGGGGTCGAAGAGGTATGGGGTAGGTTTAAAAATGTAGTGTTAGAGTGTTCAGCAGAAGTTTGTGGTTACAGGAAAGTGGGTGCGGGAGGGAAGAGGAGCGATTGGTGGAATGATGATGTAAAGAGAGTAGTAAGGGAGAAAAGTTAGCATATGAGAAGTTTTTACAAAGTAGAAGTGATGAAAGGAGGGAAGAGTATATGGAGAAAAAGAGAGAGGTTAAGAGAGTGGTGAAGCAATGTAAAAAGAGAGCAAATGAGAGAGTGGGTGAGATGTTATCAACAAATTTTGTTGAAATAAGAAAAGTTTGAAGTGAGATTAACAAGTTAAGGAAGCCTAGAGAACAAATGGATTTGTCAGTTAAAAATAGGAGAGGAGAGTTATTAAATGGAGAGTTAGAGGTATTGGGAAGATGGAGGGAATATTTTGAGGAATTGTTAAATGTGATGAAGATAGGGAAGCTGTGATTTCGTGTATAGGGCAAGGAGGAATAACATCTTGCAGGAGTGAGGAAGAGCCAGTTGTGAGTGTGGGGGAAGTTCGTGAGGCAGTAGGTAAAATGAAAGGGGGTAAGGCAGCGGGATTGATGGGATAAAGATAGAAATGTTAAAAGCAGGTGGGGATAGTTTTGGAGTGGTTGGTGCAATTATTTAATAAATGTATGGAAGAGGGTAAGGTACTAGGGATTGGGAGAGAGCATGCATAGTTCTTTTGTATAAAGGCAAAGGGGATAAAAGAGAGTGCAAAATTATAGGGGGATAAGTCTGTTGAGTATACCTGGTAAAGTGTATGGTTTGAGTTATTATTGAAAGAATTAAGAGTAAGACGGAGAATAGGATAGCAGATGAACAAGGAGGCTTTAGGAAAGGTAGGGGGTGTGGTGGACCCGGTGTTTTACAGTGAAACATATAAGTGAACAGTATTTAGATAAGACTAAAGAGGTCTTTGTGGCATTTATGGATTTGGAAAAGGCGTATGACAGGGTGGATAGGGGGGCAATGTGGCAGATGTTGCAGGTGTATGGTGTAGGAGGTAGGTTACTGAAAGCAGTGAAGATTTTTTACGAGGATAGTGAGGGTCAAGTTAGTAGTATGTAGGAAGAGGGAAATTATTTCCCAGTAAAAGTAGGCCTTAGACAAGGATGTGTGATGTCACCGTGGTTCTTTAATATATTTATAGATGGGGTTGTAAGAGAAGTGAATGCGAGGGTCTTGGCAAGAGGCGTGGAGTTAAAAGATAAAGAATCACACACAAAGTGGGAGTTGTCACAGTTGCTCTTTGCTGATGACACTGTGCTCTTGGGAGATTCTGAAGAGAAGTTGCAGAGATTGGTGGATGAATTTGGTAGGGTGTGCAAAAGAAGAAAATTAAAGGTGAATACAGGAAAGAGTAAGGTTATGAGGATAACAAAAAGATTAGGTGATGAAAGATTGGATATCAGATAGGAGAGAGAGAGTATGGAGGAGGTGAATGTATTCAGATATTTGGGAGTGGACGTGTCAGCGGATGGGTCTATGAAAGATGAAGTGAATCATAGAATTGATGAGGGGAAAAGGGTGAGTGGTGCACTTAGGAGTCTGTGGAGACAAAGAACTTTGTCCTTGGAGGCAAAGAGGGGAATGTATGAGAGTATAGTTTTACCAACACTCTTATATGGGTGTGAAGCATGGGTGATGAATGTTGCAGCGAGGAGAGGCTGGAGGCAGTGGAGATGTCATGTCTGAGGGCAATGTGTGGTGTGAATATAATGCAGAGAATTCGTAGTTTGGAAGTAAGGAGGAGGTGCGGGATTACCAAAACTGTTGTCCAGAGGGCTGAGGAAGGGTTGTTGAGGTGGTTCGGACATGTAGAGAGAATGGAGCGAAACAGTGTGACTTCAAGAGTGTATCAGTCTGTAGTGGAAGGAAGGCGGGGTAGGGTCGGCCTAGGAAAGGTTGGAGGGAGGGGGTAAAGGAGGTTTGTGTGCGAGGGGCTTGGACTTCCAGCAGGCATGCGTGAGTGTGTTTGATAGGAGTGAATGGAGACAAATGGTTTTCAATACTTGACGTGCTGTTGGAGTGTGAGCAAAGTAACATTTATGAAGGGGTTCAGGGAAACCGGCAGGCCGGACTTGAGTCCTGGAGATGGGAAGTACAGTGCCTGCACTCTGAAGGAGGGGTGTTTCCTGGAGTTTACCTGGAGAGAGTTCCGGGGGTCAACGCCCCCGCGGCCCGGTCTGTGACCAGGCCTCCTGGTGGATCAGACCCTGATCAACCAGGCTGTTGCTGCTGGCTGCACGCAAACCAACGTACGAGCCACAGCCCGGCTGATCAGGAACTGACTTTAGGTGCTTGTCCAGTGCCAGCTTGAAGACTGCCGGGGTCTGTTGGTAATCCCCCTTATGTGTGCTGGAAGGCAGTTGAACAGTCTCGGACCCTGACACTTATTGTATGGTCTCTTAACGTGCTAGTGACACCCCTGCTTTTCATTGGGGGGATGGTGCATCGTCTGCCAAGTCTTTTGCTTTCGTAGTGACTGATTTTCGTGTGCAAGTTCGGTACTAGTCCCTCTAGGATTTTCCAGGTGTATATAATCATGTATCTCTCTCTCCTGCGTTCAGG